AGACCCCCACTGAAGCCCGTTTTGGGGCCCCGGTCAGACTTTTAGCTGAAGCCTGTTTCCATTTTCTTTTCTTTTTTTAAAGGGAGCGGGGTTCCTCTTATCAACCCCCAAAATGGGGCCCCACTTGCGGACTGAGGCTCCAGGATTGGTTTGGAGTTGGACTGAGTTTGGCATTCGGCTTGCGCAACGCCCTCTCTTGGCGTGATTGGTTTGGTGCCTGCTGGTGCCTCGTTTCGGCTCCTTGCAGGCGCTAGGAGATCATCTTGCGTGTTCAACCTATTTCAACCTGACTTGCTTGGCTCCCTATGGTTTCCTGAGTTTTACCTCAGGTGAATATTTGCAGGGGCTAGTGTGGCCCAGTTTGAGGTTTTCAAGGTAAAACACGAGGGGAGATAAACATATTTTCGCGAGTCCAATATGAGACACTCCCAAATGGGGTCCGAGTTGGACCCAGAGATGTGTGGAGTGGGGTTTCGCCAGAGTCCACTTCCCTACCATGCCAGGCAAGCAAATGCAAGCCTGCCGGACTTACGGTGGATGCACACGATGGACAAATCCCGCACCAGCTGGAAGGTGGTTTATCGCAGTATTCATGAATCCTAACTGGTGCCGGATTTTGTCCATTCACATAGGTTCCCTGTTTCGTCTTAGTCTGGTTGCCCCAGGTGGGCACGAGTTGCCCGCTAGTCCAAGGAGTGTCTCCATTAGTTGATGAAACTTCTCAGTTTAACCATGGATATATGGGTTGTTTTGCCATTTGGTTCAGTTCAGAAGTTTAGCTTTAGTTGGGGGGCTGCAAAATGTGGGTGTGTGTGTTCTTGCTATTGCGTAGCAGGAAGAAGTGTTCAGTGAGGTCCGGGGCGAGGTTCCACTGCGATTATGTCATGCTGTTTTTTTCTCCGAACCTGTAGATCGTGATCGCATTTTCTCGCATGTGTTCTAAACGAATCTTGAGAATTTAAAATGGCCCTCTTTTGGGTCCAACACCTGGCAATGGAGATTGCGACCCCTTCAAACGATCCAACGATGAAAGTGATCCTGCCCTTGCTTGCGCTGGTGACATTCAGTACCGCACGTGCAAAAGAGGGAACCATACTTTCGGCCGCACAGATTCCACTCAACATTTTCAGCCTTTAGTTGCTCTTCTTGTTTCCCTTTTGCCCCTTTCCGAGGCATTTTCGCGGCGATGCTCGGGCCCCAGTTTGACTGATCCGCTTGGGATTGCCTTCGGGTCTGGGTGGGTTAGAGAGTGGTTATCAGAAGTTATGAGCTCATGCTCCGCTCCGAGTTGGGGCAGGCGACTAGTTCTGTGCTTGTTTTCAAGTGTTCCAACTGGGTTCCATTGCCCTCGGACAATCGGAACTCGGGCGGATTCGGTGGGTTCCCTTGGCCCTGTGGGGAAGACTCGAACAAATGAACACTTGCACTGTACGTAGCTACAAATTCCCAAACGGGGGATGGCCATGAACCATCTGAAGATTTCGGCAGTGCTCACAAGGGGCTCAGCCAGTTCCCAGGCGGCATGGCGCGTTTTGCCCCCATCCCTTTTGACCCTGGTGCAATCAAGTGTTTACACAAGGGTGAAAGTAGATGGCACAAAATCCATTGTGCGGGTATGCAAAGGGGATGATTAGACCAAAATGCTGGAATTGCGCCATGCCAGAATTCATTGGTAGAGGGTGCAACGTTCTGTTCAAAAAGGTGAGAATGGCAACCTAAGTTTTGGACGCATGGAGACGTCTCAAACACCGCGCCCACAAACCAGGGCCCAAACAACATGCAAATCGTACCTTGGGTGGTGGGAAGGCTTTATCCTTCATTTGGTTTTATCCAGCACAGTGATCAGCCTCATTAGAACACCTTTTTTGTGTACCGTCATTCACCACTTTTAGTGTTTTACCCATCGATCTGGCGGTTAAAGCTTTGATATTACACGCTGACGCGACACAGCCGGCCACCGGGCACCCCTTGCCGTTCTTTCATGTCCTTTCCCTCTAAGTCCTGTTAGTTCGGGATGATTTGAACTTTACTTCCTTTGCATGTCTTCCCTGACAGTTTCCTGGCATGTCCCTTCGCTTCCTCCACTTCACTGCCGTTTCAGCTCCCTTCATTTGCTTGAAGACCTCGCATTCCTTTCCCTTTTCGTCCCGCTGTCCGGTTCTTCACGTTCTGCCCTTGCACTTTCCTGCATCTCGGTGTCTCTCCAGTGCCCTCTTGATTTGCGTGCAATTCCTTTGACTTTCATTTCGTTCACTTCCAGTCACTCCTGTATCCTTGCATTTCCCCTTCAGCCCTTTGTTTCGCATCGTCAGCATGCATAGCATCATCCGCATCATCCGGAATGATGCTGGCAATGCTGGGGGTGTAGTCCGGTATTAGCCCGGTAGGGCTTACCTTCAGGTATAAGGCCGCGCGCCCCATGCCGCCGACCATGCGCAGAACATGCGCCGACCATGCTCCGACCATGCGCATACGTTTTGTACTGGGCCCACCCTTATAAGGGGCGAAGGATTCGCGGATTGGCTTAGGCGATTTCCGAGGATTTTTGTAGCATCTTCCCGCAGCGTGCAAAAACGAGTCCAAAAACAAGTATTTTTTCGATGTAAAAATATGGAAGCCTTTTTGAGGTCTTGGGTTTGTGTTAGGGTTATATGAGAGTCACGATAACCCATGGGGCATTCGGCAAAACCGCTGGTGTTGGTGAGCATGGCTTTTGGTGCGGTAGTGCTGTTCCAGCTCAAAATTGGTTTTAGATGCCGATATCTTCGTTATCACTTTTTGTTGCGCGTGTCCATGGGCAGTTGCAGCAGCTGCAAGCATTGCTAGAAGACGCTGCTCCGCAGCATGAGGCGAGCAGATATGCGACAACCGCATTACTGACTGCTCTGAATTCAGATTTTGATTTGGACCAGGCAGCACGAGGAGGGCAGAGGCAGTGCGGCATAAAGCGTCGTTTTTTGTCGCGACTGCAGCTTCAGCATCGCGTGCAGTATCTAAACGGCAAGCTGAAAAGGGTGCAGAAAGCATTGGTGCCATCCAAGCGTGGCCTGCGTTTGCATGACACATGGATTGTCAGAACGTGTTTATCTCCAACTACCTTTGCGCAGCGGAGCTTGGCCAGTTTTTGCGAAGACTGTCAAGAACGGAGCATTTCGCACACATCAGTGGGAGCTGCTAGAGACGCGTTCTGCGACACTTTGAAAGACCTTCAAGCCCGCAGGCTTGCCTCAGTTTCTTCAGCCGTGACAGAAGCGCACAGCGCCAGCGCGCCCATCGTGTATATAACCCATATACACGATGGAGTAGACTTGCGTTTGCGTACATTTTCCGATGTGCTCCAGGACGACCAGCAAGCGGTTTTGCCGGCCGGGGGACCAGGGCTATCGCGCGCTAGATGCTGCAAGGTGCAGAACCACGTTATCCGGCTGCATGTGGATGAAGTAGACCTACCATGGTGGACGGAGCTTATGGCACTTCCTTCCAAATCCGCTGACAGCGTCGCCACTTCCATGATCCTACCGCTGGAAGAGATTCTTTCTGCATTGGCAACGCAGGGGCGCAAGATTGAGATCATTCACATGGTTACAGGCGACAGTATTGGCACGAACGAGGCGGCGGTCAAAAGGCTCCTTCATTTCTTCAAGAGACAATCTGAACACAGGGCAAGAATTCACTATAGGGTGCTGAGCTGGCGATGCGCCTCGCACAAAGCTAACTTGGTGACAAACACGGCGGTTTGCGGTCGCAGCGTGGCTAACCCCTTGAAGCACAACGACCTGTGCGCGAACATGGTGAGATATTTCAAATATCTTGTGCCGTACTATTGTGAGCAGTTCTCCGCGCGGCTCCGCGCCCATGTGGTGCAACACTTGCAGCTTGAACCTGGAGCCGTGGGCGAGCAAAACAGAGCTGATTCTTGCATCCTCCAGCTCTATGGTCCCAGCTGTTTTCCGCAAGTGCTGACGCAGGTATTGAATAAAGATGTGCGCCGCATGGTGCACGTGTCGCATCCAGCAGCATCTTTGGAAGTGGCGCGGGGAAGACTTTTCGACACCTTGTATCGTTATTGCTTGATTTCTGAGAACAAGCCAGTGATCAGTAGATTTTGGCTGTTCGGTGACTGCTGTCAAGCGCTGTTGCGTGCCCAGATCGTGGGCCTTCCAAGTGATATTTTTACCGTCGACACTGTACAACTTCGGAATGTCCAGCAAAAGAGGGTGGCGCTGTTTCGCCGCTGGTATGATGATTCAGCGATGCAAAAGGACTTGCGGCGGGCTTGTCTCTGCCTCAGGCTTACGACGCTGGCTGTGAGCATCAGTTCACAAAAGGCAGAGTGTGCGCCCACGCGGTTGCCCACACTGGTACGTTTGGCGCAAAGTGAAGTGCAGCGCCGGACATGCGCTGAGCTGGCTCACATTGTGTCCCATTTGCACTTTGACAGCTTTTTGGATATGGATGCGTGTGTCGCCTCACTTGTAACGACGCAGATCCATATTTTTCTGAGGTATGCTGAATTCAGTGGATATCCGGGAAAGCTGTGGGAAATGACGAAGCTTTACAACCCCCATGGGTACATTCATGCTTGCGAGGTATTCTTGGACATAGCCCACCTTGACCTTGATAGTGGCTTTTCGTTGGAGTTGCAGACACGTGCCCGCGCTGCCGGCAATTTTTCTGCTGGTATTGCCTTCCTTTTGAGCGACGCCGTGCAATCCCAACTCTGCAAGGCGGGTGAGACTCCATGCTTTCTCTCTACGCTTGCGGTTCCCAAAGCTTATTTTGTTTTCAGGTGATTTGTTACTCCGAAGTCCCAAATCCATGAGCAACGCAGGTGCTGGCGCTCTCGGACAGCACCAGTCTAGATGTAGAGCGGCGCAACAATTCTGACAGGAGGAATCAAAGGAACGATCGGCTTATGAGCTGCGCAAGAGCAAGCCGAAATGGTATCATCGAAGCTTACCGGAGTTGGCGGGGGCCCCACCTGAAGCGACGGCTGGCAGCGCGCAAGCAAGCAAAAAAGTTGCGCACGATGAACATACGTGCACTGGCTATAAGGCGAAACCCAGATTTGCTCAAACGAGGGCGCGGGAAACTGCACTGGGAATCTTCGGTTTCAAAAAGGCTGCGGAAAAGTATCACGCATCAAGGGAACGAAGCGGCTCTGAAAGCATACATCGACCAGAACCGCGAAGAGTTGGAAAGAGAGGCGCGAGCCTTGCGCGAGGTTAGCAAATCGGCAGTGGCCTTGACCAAGACTGAACTGCCCCTCACCAGCGAAGAGTGGCTCAGCTGGCTGCAACAGAACGGCAAGGACCAGGGGAAACTTGTTGTTTTTTGCGGTGCTTTTTTTTAAACGGTGGGTGGGGGTGCTTTGTAGAGCGGGGGAGCGTGCTTCGCTTTCTTGACGTGCCTTGCGGTGGTCTTGGGTGGGGTGGGGGAGGCCTTCTCCCCCTTGCCCCCGCGTGTCTTGGGTGGGGTGGGGGGGAGGCTTTTCTCCCCCTTGCCCCCACGTGCCTTGGGTGGGGTGGGGGGGAGGCTTTTCTCCCCCTTGCCCCCGCGTGTCTTGGGTGGGGTGGGGGGGGAGGCTTTTCTCCCCCTTGCCCCCGCGTGTCTTGGGTGGGGTGGGGGGTTTTCTCCCCTTGCCCCCACGTGCCTTGGGTGGGGTGGGGGGGAGGCTTTTCTCCCCCTTGCCCCCGCGTGTCTTGGGTGGGGTGGGGGGGAGGCTTTTCTCCCCCTTGCCCCCACGTGCCTTGGGTGGGGTGGGGGGGAGGCTTTTCTCCCCCTTGCCCCCGCGTGTCTTGGGTGGGGTGGGGGGGGAGGCTTTTCTCCCCTTGCCCCCCCCTTGCCCCCGCGTGTCTTGGGTGGGGTGGGGGGGAGGCTTTTCTCCCCCTTGCCCCCGCGTGTCTTGGGTGGGGTGGGGGGTTTTCTCCCCTTGCCCCCACGTGCCTTGGGTGGGGTGGGGGGGAGGCTTTTCTCCCCCTTGCCCCCGCGTGTCTTGGGTGGGGCTTTTCTCCCCTTGCCCCCACGTGCCTTGGGTGGGGTGGGGGGGAGGCTTTTCTCCCCCTTGCCCCCACGTGCCTTGGGTGGGGTGGCTTTTCTCCCCCTTGCCCCCGCGTGTCTTGGGTGGGGTGGGGGGGAGGCTTTTCTCCCCCTTGCCTCCGCGTGCCTTGGGTGGGGTGGGGGGGAGGCTTTTCTCCCCCTTGCCCCCGCGTGTCTTGGGTGGGGTGGGGGGGAGGCTTTTCTCCCCCTTGCCCCCGCGTGTCTTGGGTGGGGTGGGGGGGAGGCTTTTCTCCCCCTTGCCTCCGCGTGTCTTGGGTGGGGTGGGGGGGAGGCTTTTCTCCCCCTTGCCCCCGCGTGTCTTGGGTGGGGTGGGGGGGTTTTCTCCCCTTTGCCCCCGCGGGTGAATGTGTTTTTGGGGCGAAGCCTCTGCATAAAACGTAAGTAAGCCGATGCTTGTTTGGGTCGAGCCCTTGCTTGTGTTGCATTGTTTTCGCAGGACTTCCGGCAGCGGCTGCAAACCAGTTCACGTCAACGTCAGCAAACATATTCCAGAAAGATTCAGATCTTAAAGGATTTGGACGCTGTTCCACGTATTCGTCCGCGAGAAATACCTCTTCTTTCGTGGGAGAAACAAGTGAAAGGTTCTACGTGCGGCCCATTTTTTCCTTCTTCGGCACAACCGTGCGCATGTGCTTGCAGTGGCAGCTGCTGGAGTGGGCTCTCAATGTTGGGGCTCCCGCATGGTTAAGCTTCCTGGGCAAGATGCGAACTACGAGCTTGACGTTAGCACATTCATGGACTCCTGCATTCCCCTGCAGAAGTTAGTGATGCTGTCGTTCCCTGACCTGCAGCCCAACACCAATTTTGATGTGTATGCCCTCAAAACCAACATTTGCAAGATCGTTGGTTCCAAGATCGAGTTGCGAGTGCTTGCCGCGGAACTTGTGGAAGCCACTAGTAAGCCACTGGCCCGTGAAGACGACGAGGGCCTGGAGGATGTGTCAGACGAATGCTTGAACACTGCGTCTGAGGAGTCTGTGCGGGCTTGACAAAAACAGTTTGTTTGTTTTTTACCCTTCAACCCCTGGCAGAAAACAGTCCGCAGCAGGAGGCTGTGATTTTCGACACACTCTTGTGTTCCCCTTGGGATAAACACCCCAAGTCTGCAAGCGTCGTCGACTGCAGGAGGAAGAGTTCGTAGTGTCGGATGGTGACATCTCGGCGGAAGATGAGTTGGAGGAATTACCGCATCACGAGCCTCCGAAAAAGGCTCGCGAGGTTTCGCCAGAGGAGTTTCAGAATAGAGCGCCTCCAGGCACCCACATTCTCTTGAACAATGGCTATTACTCCATTGCGCACTACCGTGCGAACTTTGATTGCAAAGCAATGTTGCTCTCACGATGGTGCACGCAGTCGGAGCTGGGCCGGCGCTCCATGTCAAAAACCTTGCGTGTGGAAGACTATGACCCGGATAAGCATATCGAGGAGCGCGCTGTATAAAAGGAAGCTCCGGAGTTTTTTTGTGCACACCCGAGGCTATACTCTGACCCCCAGAATTGAAGCGGCCGCAAGTTAATAAAGGGCGTAACCCCAACGTTTATTATTTGATAGTTTTTCAGTAGGAGCCTGTGAACACCATCCTGGCGCTCAGAAGTTGGATGCTTTGGAGATCCAAACAGAAAGCTGGCTGGCTTTGCAAAGCAATCCGCCCGAGAGGCTTGGTACACAGAGGAAGTGCAAAGGCTTCGGTCCGACTGCGCTGCCGCAGAATTGACGGCAGCCGCCCGACAAGCCATCCAAAGGTGGGCGCCGGAGGTGCTTCACTGAGAGGTGTGCATATGTAGGATCCGCGTTTCAGCAGTACTGCAACGTGAAACATGGAGATTGCATGTGCCCTTTCGCCAAGCAGTGCATCTTTGCAGCGCACGTGCGAAAGCAGCATGAATCTGTACACTCTTCAACCTTCGACACTATTCGACGGTATTCAACACGATCCGTCACTATCCGACACTATTCGACACTACTCGACACTATCCGACACTATCCGACACTACTCGACACTATCCGACACCATTCGACACTATTCGACACTACTCAACACTAGTCGACACTATCCGACACTATTCGACACTATCCGACACTCTTCGTCACTATTCGACACTATTCGACACTACCCGACACTCTTCGACACTATTCAGCACTATCCGGCATTTTTTTGAGCTCTCTTCGACACTATCCGGCACTACTCGCCGCCTGACCGCAAATTCGACCACCGTTGTTTTGTTGACACACGTTCGACATTATCGGACACTCACCAGCTGCGCTCTTCAACCCCCTCCGACGCCAAACAGTGCAACCCATACTATTGGCACCTTTCAGACATTGCATGGCGTGATTGCTGCGCTTGCTCGTGTCCTAAGATGTTGGCATAGCAGGGTGTTGCAGCTTGGTGTTTTTCTAGTCGAAGTTTGGCTCTGGCCGAGCGCCCGGGCAGTTTTGGTAGCTTGGAAGTGTGATATAGTATTTGGGTGACTCCAGCTCTTGCGCCTGCCGGAGTTATGAGTAAATCAGAGATAGAGGACAAGATGAAGGAGGTTGTGCTGGATGCCAACAACCGTGCCAGCGCAACACGAACTCTCAAAACCTTGAAAGAACCCGTCACGGAGCAGAACATGAGGCTAGTGTTGGCTGTGCGGGCCTTGCACAGTGGAACTCGGGTCACCAGCGCGCTGTGGCAGCAATCCAAAAGCTTTGTGGTCGAGTCTTGCCGCCATGAGGAGAAGTATTGGATGGTGCCCATGGCAACATTGCCAAGTGAGCCGGATGTCGAGGAGTGCATCATCGACACTGCCGCGTGGCATGAACTCCCTCCTCAGTTCAATAGTGATACGCATGTGTTGGTAGATCAGAAAATTTCGCGGCAGAGGTTACCGAGAGGCACAACAGAGATTGTTGCTTCCGTGGGCAGGGAAAACCGCATGAAGCTTGGTGCCTCAACAACAGCGCAGCAAAAGCCGGAGATGCCAGAGCGGCAAGCAACTGCAGATGGCTCCGCAGCTGCTAGCTCGACTGGCAGCGAAGCGTTGCCAAAGGCTCCAAGTGCAGATGCCCAATCAGCCCCCCAGGCGCCCAGCCAGCCAGCCCGACTGCTGGCGCGGCACGGCTCTTCCACTCAGGATGAGTCCGAGGAGGTTGAAAAATGCGCGCTTGGTGCAAAGGCCGCTTTCCGGGAAAACCGCCTGTATTCCACAAACAGAAACTCTGCCACTGCGGAATACTGGTTGAGATCCTTTGCGAGAAGCCTGTCTACAGCTTTGGCGAAGACAGGACACGGATTCTTGCTTTGCCTCCTCCCCCCATCAATCTTTTTTCCCTGGCCCCCTCAATAGCTTCCTGTCTTAAAACCTGCAGGAGATTTGCCTCCTATGGAAGACCTTCACTTGTTCCCCAGGTTCATTGCCAGTGAGCTTTGTCATCACCCGTCCGGATTTCAGTACTTGGAACACTTTGCGAAAGCTTTCTCAATGTTGCGCGAGAAATGCCCTACTATCCTTGAGAAGGCGCCCTTGGCAAAAGGCATTATGGAGCTTGCTGGCTATGATCATGCTTCTCAAGCAGAGCTCAACCTTGACTTCATGAGTAGCTTTGTTTCCTGAGTAGCAAAGTGCTTGCAAGCGTTTACAGTGGTTGTTTTGTAAGCAGTTTAGTTTGCCGCCTGTGCGCAAACCCTGGCTTCCGTGAGCTGTGACAAGGTATCTCCACCAGATCGGAGTTTGTGAGCTCGCAGCTATACACTTCCTTCATGGATATGTGTTACGAAGAGAAGATAAAGCAGATAGCTTCTGCGCCGGGAGAGGACGAGGAGCGCTATGCGCTTGTGGCATCCTTGCTGAAAGAACGACCAGACGATGACCGCTTGTGCTTTGCGGCTGCGTGGCTTGGCCGTAGCCCGATGACGGATAAGTTCGAGTACCTCTTTGCAGACCATGCCAGGTTTGACCTCCTTAAGTTTTGGTGCCCCACTTCCATCTACCTTTGCTTGCGGGTGCTGAAAGAAGCCTCGTTTCGTCCCGAGTTTGGTCCAGATTTCTTCGCAGCAGCCAAGCACTTGGCAGCCTGCGACCTCACGAAGATCCTCCCAGCTGTTACCAACAGCGTCGCGAGGCAGCTCCTGAGCGATTACCCGAAGATGCTTGCGATCACCTTGAGTTTCCCAGCCTCCGACGAGATGAAAGATTGCCTCTTCAAGGAGATGGCGACCGTTAAGCTTGGCGTAGAGATCCCCGTGATTAACACACCGTTCACTATACAGATGGAGACCCTCACAGATTCCGACAAAGACGGCGTGAAGTCGCTCGGCAGGTTCTTGGTGGGGCGGGCTACAAAGCAAGGTTTATCCGCCCATACCGTTTTTGCAAACATCTTGGAGAAGTTGAAGCTGCCGCCGCCATCAAAGCCTGAAAAGGCACCAGAGTGTGCGTCGCAGCCAGGTCACGGCCCAGAGGTTCCTCCAGCTGGAGTGACACCTGCTCAGGAAGATTCATGCCCTTTCACAGTGGGTGATAAGGCCGCGGCCTAAGCAAAAGCGTTGAGCAAGCCATTTGAGTAGTCTATGTCAACCACCGGTGTAAGACACAGCGCTTGTGTTCGTGCTCGTGCGTATGTCGACATGCGCGTGTGCGCAAAAGGCTGGATTTGTTTTGTTTGTGCTGAGGTGGTTACCAGCTCCAAGCGCCAGAGGGAATTCTATGATTGCGTGGAGGGCCATGTGAAGAAAGTGATGAAAGGCAAGTGCCTGGTACACCTTCCTTCTATGAAAGAAGACAAAATCTTTACGTGGAGCAACTTGAGGGCCCAGGAAAAGCCACCGGAAAAGCCATCGGAAAAGCCATCGGAAACGGTGAACGTTTCTGAGCCGGCAGGGGCAAAAAAGTTGGCTGAATACAAGCCATCTAATCCATCTTTGAAAGAGTTGCTGGGCCTAGATGGCAAGAACGAAGACTGATTTTGGCAAGTGTGAGATGCAAAAGGCGCGGAAAATCAAGCGGGCAAAAGAAGCTTTGGGTGGCGCAGTGTGGCTGGCGTGCTGGATTCCTTCTGGCCATCATTACGATAGTGTTTTTTCTTGTTTTCCTGTTCTGGGCGTGCTGTGGGCTCGACAGTGGTAGTGGGTAGTTCGGAAAATAAGCCCCGTCTTAGGTGTAGTTGCGAAATTACAAATCTTGTGGCGGCTAGAATATCGAATCGAACATTCCTCGATATAGCATACTTTGCGAGATTGAAAAGAAACCCGTTATAATCTCCAACGTGAGAATTACGTAGCACAACGCTATCGAACACTATTCAACACTAATTGACACTATTAGTAAGCGACCTACCCTAAATTAGGCTTCCATAATCTTATACCTAATATTTTTAGGGGGTGCCTAGGCCTGCGGCCCGATCACGTCCGGTGGCCGGATTTACACGCTGACGCGACACAGCCGGCCACCGGGCACCTTGCCCTGCCCGTTCTGTCACTTCCCTTTCCTGTAAGTTCGATGAGTAGATGTTAAGATCTTAAAATTCTAAAAACTTTGAGATTCTAAGGGTCTCAGATTTGAAGACTTTCGGAATTTAAGGTTTCAATGGTAGAAGAATTAAGGTTTTAAGATTCAAAGATTTAAGGTTTTTGAAGGTTACAACAGCCAGGCCATTGCCCAGCCATTTTCCATCCATTATCAGATTTCGAAGGCTTTAAGATTCTATTTTTTGTGAGATTTTCAGATTTGGCGACTTTCGGAATTTAAGATTTTAGGATCTTAAGATGTCAAGACTTCAAAAGTTGAAGATTAAGAGTTTAAGGAATTTAGAATAATATAGCCCGTATTGAAGGAATTTTATTATATTTTACTCGTTTATGAATTTAAGATTTTCAGATTGCAATAGTTCGAGATTTAAAGAATTTAAGTTTTTGAAGCTTTTAAGATTCTGAGATTTTCAGACTTTGAGAATTTAGGAGTTTCATATTTTAAGATTTTAACATCTGAAGATTCAAAGACATGAGGGTTTCTGTCACTTCCCTTTCCTGTAAGTCCGATGAGTAGATGTTAAGATTTCAAAATTCTATAAACTTTGAGATTCTAAGGGTCTCAGATTTGAAGACTTTCGGAATTTAAGGTTTCAATGGTTGAAGAATGAAGGTTTTAAGATTCGAAGATTTAAGGCTTTTGAAGGTTATAACAGCCAGGCCATTGCCCAGCCATTTACCATCCATTATCAGATTTCCAAGGCTTTAAGATTCGATTTTTTGTGAGATTTTCAGATTTGGCGACTTTCGGAATTTAAGATTTTAAGATCTTAAGATGTCAAGACTTCAAAAGTTGAAGATTAAGAGTTTAAGGAATTTAGAATAATATAGCCCGTATTGAAGGTTAAGATTTTAAAATTCTATAAACTTTGAGATTCTAAGGGTCTCAGATTTGAAGACTTTCGGAATTTAAGGTTTCAATGGTTTAAGA